CTGATCAAATTGACTTTAAGACAAAAACCACCATATGAGACAAGGAAGGACATTATATAATGATTAAAGGATCAATTGAACAAGAAGATATAACCTAATAAATATCTATGGACCAAAGAGAGGTGATCCCACACAATGTACAAATTATCAAACAATATCATTAATACCATAGGCCAGTAAAATCTTACTGAAGATAATTCAAAAACGGTTACAGCAGTATATTGACAGACAACTTCCAGAAATGCAAGCTGGATTCAGAAGAGGATGTGGAACAAGGGATATCATTGCTGATGTCAGATGGATCTTGGCTGACAGCAAAGAATACCAAAAAGATGTTTACTTGTGTTTTATTGACTGTGCAAAAGCATTCGACTGTGTGGATCATAACAAACTGCGGATGACAGTGAGAAGAATAGGAATTCCAGAACACTTGATTGTACTCAGGAGGGACCTGTACATAGACCAGGAGGCTGTCGTTTAAGCAGGACAAGAAGACACTGCATGGTTGAAAATGAAGACAGTGTGTTGGGGCTGTGTCCTTTCACCATACTTAATCAATCTGTACGCTTAGCAAATAATCAGAGAAGTTGGACAATATGACGAAGAATCATTAACAACCTGTGATACACTGATGACACAACTTTGCTTGCTAAAAGTGAGGATGACTTGAAGCACTTACCAATGAAGGCTGAAGAATACAGTCTGAGATATGGATTATATCTCAATATAAAGAAAACAAAAATCCTCACAACTGGACCTATAAGCAGCATCACAATAAATGGAGTAACGACTGAAGTTGTCAAAGACTTCACATTGCTTGATTCTACAATCGATGGTAATGGAAGCAATAGTCAGCTGCAAAGGACCTCTTTCAAGTGCTGAAGAGCAAAGATGTCTCCTTGAGGACTAAGGTGCACCTGACACAAGAAATGGTATTTTCAATTGTCTCATATGCATGTCAGAGCTGGACAATGTATAAGGAAGACCAAAGAGTGGATGCTTTTGTATTGTGGTGTTGGTGAAGAATGCTGAAAGTACCATGGACTGCTAAAAGAACTAATAAATCTGTCCTGGAGGTAGTTCAGCAAGAATGTTCCTTGGAAGTGAAAATGGCCAGACTTCATCTTACATACAACAAGAAGACATAAAATAAATGCTGGCAAGGATGTGGAGAGATTGGGACTCTCATACACTGCTAGTGGGACTGTAGAATGATCCAACCACTGTAGAAAGCAGTAAGGTGATTCCTTAGAAAGCTGGAATTAGAAATACTATTTGACCCAGCAATCCCATTTGTTGTTGTTGTTGTTGTTGTTATGCACCGTCGATACTAGGTATATATTCTAAAAAAGTGAGCACATTCATGTTCATCGCAGCACTATTCACAAAAGCAAAAAGATGGAAAAAACCTAGGTGCTCATTAACAGCAGAATGGATAACCAAACTATGGTACATACACACAATGGAATACAATGCAACCCTAAAGAATAACGTAGAATCTGCAAAACACCGCATAACATGGATGAACTTAGAGGACATTATGCTGAGTGAAACAAGTCAATCACAGAAGGGCAAATACTGTGTTAGTCTGTTATTATGAAACATCAAGGAAAGGTTTATATATGGAATGAAACTTTCTTTGTTGGTTACTAGGGGTGAGAGGGGAGGGGAAGAAACACTGCTAGATAGGTAAAGACAAGTATTGATTTGGGTGAAATCAAGGGCAATGTACAAGTGATCAACACGGTGGCACTGAAGAAGAGGAAGACATAGAGAGGTACATGGTAGATATAGACAACAAAGTTGAACCCTTTTGTACATACAGTACTGTGTTGTCAGTGATGGCAAACACTGATCTAGGGTAGATAGATAGAGGGTAGACAGGCTGAACTATCAGGTATGTCTAGGCAGGGGGGAATGTGCCCATGATCATGTATTGGGTTGGCACACAAGTATCTACAAGCATATTTGTATGTTCTGTTAAGAATGTCCAGGTATATAGTAGAGCTGACAATGGACAAGGTTGTGGTGACTTCTTGACCACAGCCAGTTACCCAGAGAGAGTGAATAGTTGGACCTGTGGGCTCGGGACTATGGTTGCAGTAAACATCAAGCTCCACTGTGATAACATATTACACAAAACATTGTTCCACCTCCTAATTTGGCAAGTAGCGACTGGATCTTAAAAGCTTACAAGCAGCCATCTAGATGCAACAATGAGTCTCTCCTCGTCCAGAGCAAAGAATAATGAAGAAAACCAAAGACACATGGAAACAATTAGTTCAAGGGACTGGTACACTAAGTTATCCTCAACCTATTGACTATGAGACCAGAAGAACTGGATGGTACCCGGCTACCACTGTCAACCTCTTGGAGGTGGATCTATGTAGGAGATCCTGGATAGAGTGGGAGAATAATGTGGAACAAAATGCAAAATCATTAAAAAAAAAAAAAAAAAGGACCAGGTTTGTTGGTTTGATAGAGTCTGGAGAAACCCTTGAGACTATGGCCCCTTGCTGCCCCTCAACCTGGAACTGAACCCAACTCCTGAGGCTTCCAGCCAAACAAAAAGCAGGCATGTGATCTGAACATTTACATTAGGTAAATACAGCCCTTTGAGTGTATCTCTGAGATATCAACAATAGGAGAATACAAGGACATCATGCTGGGTAAAGTAGAGGGTCAGTGAAAAAGAGAAACATCCTCTATGAGATGGATAGACAGAGGCTGCAACAATGTGCTGAGAATTACCAGTGATTGTGAAGATAGCACAGGACCAGTGTTATGTTGTTGTACACACAAGGTAGCTATGAGTTGGAACTGACTCAATGGTAACTAACATTAGCAACAATGGACATGGCCAGGGACAATGCACATTCAACCATGTGGAATTTCCGGGTCATTAATGATTTTCAAAAAAATCACTTGCAGAGTAGTAACAGAAATCTTCTCTAAAAACTGAAAGCCTTTTATACTTGCTTCAGTATCTGCTGTAGGTCAGGCAACAATCAGTGTTATATGCAAAAATCTGACCTCACATATAACCAAATTTTGTTGTTATTGTTATGTGCCATCGAGTCAGACCCAACTCATAGTGACCCCTCTTTGGGTTTCTGAGGCAGTATCACTACGGAAGTAGATTGTCCAACCTTCCTTCCGAGGAGTGGCTGGTGGGTTTGAACCACCAGCCTTCTGGTTAGCAGTCAAGTGCCTTAGGCACTACACTACCAGAGCTCCCCATATAACCAAAAGCTGGAAAAAAAAACTCAGATAATTGGTTATAAACTGAATTATCTGTTACCAGATGAACTCATCCATCAAAGGATTAGGTATCTGTACACAGAAACTTATCCAATAACTTACTTTTCCTTCTTTGGTTTGGTATTAATATCTCCTAGGACCATGATGTCAGAGAAGTCTATCCGGAACTTGCTAAGCAAAGTAGCCATCCTGGAACAAAAATGAACAGTATCAAGATACATGAAGAATATATATAAATATCTAATACTTATATACATATGTAAATAATGTAAAAGTACATAATGTATATAATGTATATAAGTGGCTGCAATGATGGGCTCAAGTATAGCAAGGATCATGGAGCTGGCATGGGATTGGGCGGTGTTTCGTTCTGCTGTGCACAGAGTCGCTATGAGTTGGAAATGACTTGATGGCACCTAACAACATCTTAATTCTATGCAGAACTGTATCTATGTATTTCATCCTGTGTAGGTCTGAATCCACATATGTGATTTTTAGTCTACCTGTACTAAACTAAGTCCATCTGAATTAATTCACAACATAGGCTTTCAATTCCCTGAAACTTCTGTTATGTTCTTTTACTTTTTCTGAATCTCTCTAAAGAGGGATAATGAATGGACAGAGCATGGCATTTATAATGAAGTTTGAATGGCTAATAGTTCTTTTTTAAAGTTAATTTTACTCAAATTTATATAGGTAAGTATATAGATTTCAGCAAGAAGAAGTAATGGTTATTTGGTTTTAAATTAATTTTGGATTATTCTATCAAAGAAGTCCAAGTATAACTTTTGGGTTGGAATGAGAGTGAAGATGGTCTATTGGAACCAAACTGAAGATGGTTGATGCAGTTCACTGCATAGTTTTTTTTTTTTGGACTGGAGTAGGCATGGAAAAGTAGCACCAAAAAGCCTCTGATGTTCAGTAAATAAGTGTTTTTGTTCTGTTATACATAAAGTCACTATGAGCCAGAGCTGACTTGTGAGCACCCAACAAAAAGTACCATTTTGGAGGCACAATTGGCAGTGGAATGTTGGTGGCAATAACAGAAGAGTTGAAACAGACACAAGAAAAACAATGAACAAAGCATTTTATTTTTAATAATGAAGACAGTTTCTGAATGATTAGAAAATAGATGAACATAAGTTTTAAGTTATTAGTATTTGTTGCATAATTCACTATTTGAAGTATATAAACACCTAGTTAAACCTGATGTCTATTTATTCAGTGTCTGCCACATGCATCCCAGTGTGCTAAACATTATAGGACCCACATGACTGAAATTTAAGATCAGAAATAAGTATAACACAAGCCAGAAGGTAATCAGTGCTATCAACTATACTGATTCAGGAAAAGTCAAAGGAGAAAAAATTAGAGAAGCTTTATGAAGAAGGTAAGCACTGAGCTGGGTTTGAAGAATGGAGAATTTTAAGTGAGAAGAGGGGTGGAGTAAGGAGCTATGGAGAGTACAGAGTTTAGAGTAGGCAAAGGAGTAAAGGCCTGAAATCACATACATGCTCAAAAGTGTAAAATGAAGTATATAGCACACATCTAGGGGAATAAGAGATAATAATGGAAAGGGAATGAGAGAACAGATTGTGAAGGGCCTTGAATGCCACATTATAGCAATTGAAACTTCATATAGTAATGGAGAAGTAATGGAGAGATTGTTAAAGTATTTGGGGAAAAAGAATCTCTGGTATACAAACATGAATCTGGGAGCACTGTGTACAACATACTTGAAAAGCAGGAGACAGGACATACTTTGAGTACAGGAGAGAAGCCCTGAAACCAGAACTAGAACTGTGCCAGGACAGAAGGAAAGAAGATGATGGATGGCAATGGCATCCTGCATTTCTGCTGGATAGAAGTCTAAAAAATGTATCCCACAGTGCTGAAGTGTCCTCTAGTTTCCTAAGCATTTTCTCATCCAATTAACAGCCATTTAAAGCTTTATTTAAGAAAGACCTTCTACAATGCCAAAAATCTTTTTTTAAAAATTATGCATTAATATTAAAACTAAATTATCTACAATTTAAGCATGAAGACAAAATTAAAGTATTTGTGGTTTTACTTGTTTAGCTGGAATTCTGAGCTTAAGTATAGAACAGAATAACATGACTGACATTTTCTGGATTGTCTAATTTTTATCTGATCAAATCTGCACTGTGATAATGAAGTACTACTGGATAAGTGCCCTTTAAGATAAACTTACGCTCTCCGGTCGTGGTCTATTCTATTTATTTTTCCTCCAATGAATACTCTAATCTTACAGTCTTTCCATTTTTTCTTTGTAGTCAGAAGATAAGGTATCAATAAGGTCAAACCTGAATCATAAAAATACAACAGATCATTTAGTAAATGCTAACTATCTCAATCACCCAGTTTGGTCTCTAAAAACATGTTTACCACACTTCAATATGAAATGAAATTCACTTTCTGTCCTTCTTTAATAATCCAATAATAGTAATAATAATAGTAATATAAAAACTGTCATTAGGTAAGCCTGAACAAGGCCCTAACCCAGTGGTGGAGTTAAGGCCCACATGAAGAAGGCCATTAATATTTATGGTATCAATCATAAACAAGTGGAATAGTGGCCTGGCAATGTCGGGAGATTAGTGACATATGGGAGACTGAGAAAACAACTATATTCATTTAAGATTATGGGAACCAGGTTTCTTACTGAAATGAGAAATACTAAAAAGCAGAAAGCTGCCCTGAACCCTGTAGTGTTAGATAAGAACTGGTTTTCAATCTGTATCTATACATATACACACACAAACATACATATTTCCTAGCTTGTCTACTGAGAGGGCCTGGAAGAAGTGGCAACCTAGCAGTAATGAATATGCCTAATGCCCCAACCTTTGCATCTACATACCATTCTCCAGTAAAAGGAACCAACACTCCTTAGTTAGTTAGTTCCATGGTTGAAGTACATTAAGTACAGCACTGAGCCTGGAACATCTAATTGTGTCAGAAAGTAAGACAGTGCTTCTTTCTAAGAAGGACTGAGACATGACAAATAGACACAGAAGGCTGCTTGAATGGGACCCTGCTATCCAAGTTTAAAACAATATGAATATCCCAAGAAATAATGTGTGTAACAAAATATATCCTAAAATAGGAATCCATGACTCCACATTGATAGAAATGAAAAGAAAGTTTTTCTTTACAGGAGAAAGCCAATTTCAATAAATGAAGAAACTATGGGACTGGAAATATTGCCATCAGGCAACAACAACAACAATGAATCCAGGCAAGAAACATCAACGGATGCTTAAGATAGTGGCAAAAGTTGTAGAAGAATGAAATTTTTACATAGCCTCAAACTAATTCCCTCCCAAATACCTGTAATTATAAAAGGGGAAGGGGACTGACTTTCAGAGAAAACTACCTTGCTCAGTGGTCAAAGTTAACTTCACCGGGGACAGCACACATAGCATCCCATGCTACGTGTAAAATGCCATCAGAAGAGGAAAGCATCTTCTGGACATTTCCACCAAAAATATATAACCTGAAACTAATTACAATGAACCATCAGATGGCACTCTGAGTTGAGTGACATTCTCCAAAATGGATGGCCTAAAATATTAAAAATATTAAGGTCATGAAGGTCAAGGAGGGACTCAGCAACTCTTCCAAAGTGAAGGACACTGAAGAGCCATGACAACTAAGTACAACATCTGATTCTGAAATTAACCCCTTGGCTTTTAGGAACATTGACAAAACCTTAATGGGGTCTCTGAGTAAAGAGTACATGAAATGTGTTACTACTATTCTCACAAATTCAGTAAATTTTAAGTTATTGAAAAAGCATATGAACCTTACCTCCATCATCAAAAAGCCACCAGACATCAATAGTATTCTTTCCTTGTTTTTTCTGAAACTGTATACTAGCTTCGAGAAGCTTTTGGTCAGCCACATTTAAAGGCACAACAGGGCCTTTGGATTCTAAAGGATTAAGCAAAAACATAAGATGTAAGGAAGGTAAATATTAAAACCTCCCTTGCTAAATTCCTATAGTATCCTAACTTTTGTATATTCAAGTATGTTTATATTACACAGTTCTATCTACAAGCTTTTAATTGTCTATAATTTAAGCATACTTTTAAAATAGTTACAGATATCTTTAAAATAGGTACATGCACATTATCTTGCCTAATTTTTAATATTTTGAAGCATTCTGAACAAATGTAAATGAATCGTAATTACCAATACTAATATATCAATCATAAATAATCAAGAAGAGTACATCTGACTTAGATTTTGATCCTTTAAAAGGGGTTTTAATTGGGTAAGTTTATAACTGTTCTGTGAACCATTTTCTTTCACAGTATGGCCTCTCAATAATATAAAGCTCAAAGATATTTTTAAATAAAAAGTTAACTGTAACATAAATAATGGAAGTCTGCTGAAGATTTATCAAAACTGTCTTACCAATAATCACAGTGGAAACTTTATCTAAAGAAAATCTCCTGTTTCCCTAACTTTGTCCTTCAAAATATGATACTCAATTCTAAAGTCATACAACCACTTCATCTTTCTCTGAACCATAGAAAGATGGTGGGAACTTCTTGGAAGGACACCCATCTGCTGCAGATCTAACAGATATTAAACCAAGGGAGTTCCCATGAAGTCCCAGGAATTAAAAATAAAAAAACACAAAAAAACAACATTGGCTCTGTAAGCAAGCAAATGACTATTACGAAACTCCTACACCACAATTTTTAAAGCAGAAATCCACAGGAGGAAATCTAATCACTTCTGCAGAATGTCTATCATTCACTTTTCATGCTGCCATGATGTATGCAAACATGACGAATGATTTTGCATGATGAAATAATATGGCTACCAAACCACACTGCTCCATAACTCTCACCTCTATCTCCTTCTCATAAAATTCATGTACGCTGACATGACTGTGTATCTCCCAAACGCAGCAGGACTGTGAGAAATATTATAATTTTTGAAATGAAAAATATTAGTATCAAAAAAAAGGACTTGGCTGGGTACAACTGATGGTAAAGAATGCAAGTGACACTGTAAGTCAACCTAATGCAGTGCCTCTACTTATCATCTGAACCATGCAGTTTAAATTAAAAAAAAAAAAATAATAATATTTACTTTCAGGGTTTGAATATTTAAGAAATATGATTAAAAAAAAATTGTTTGTGATATACCACTTATTCCTAGGCAGATTCGTTTTTTAGTTGAACTAATGTTAATTTAGGAGCTCTGGTAGTGTAGTGCGTAAGGCACTTGACTGCTAACCAGAAGGCTGGCAGTTCAAACCTACCAGTCACTCCTCAGAAGGAAGGTTGGGCAATCTACTTCTGCAGTGATACTGCCTCGGAAACCCAAGGAGGGGTTGTTATTAGTTGGGTCCGACTAGATGGCACAATACAACGACAACAACAATGTTAATTTTTCTAATCTGCATTTAATAAATAACTGTAACATCACCTCACCATGGAAATGAAAACTAAGGTAAAAAAAAAAATAATAAAGTTGGAGTTAAGGAGTTAACAGTATGAAAAAAGAGATTAAAATAAAATGATGAAAAATGCCTGCCTTTTTTCAACAGTGGTTGAGTTGGAGTCTTGCCATCCTCTTCCTCATCTAGATTATGTTTAAAAAACAAAATATAGGTTAATTGCTTTTATTTTAAGAAAATAATGAAAATGCAAATAGAGCACATTTATAAATAAAACATAGTATGAAGCAACAGTCCGTGAAAAATAAGAGTGAAGATTAATATTTTCTACACTAATTTTCAGGATTTTTAAAAGCAAACATGCATTAGACCCCTCCTACAGGGCTACTAATTAACATTCACACCTAAATTTTATTCCTGTAAAGTGTCAAGAACTCTTACCAGAGTTTTTAAAATTCTTATTTGATATTATGGTTTCTAGAATATAAATATGACATTTGAAATTGATATTGAAGATAATACAAGGTTTGAAACAAGCCACTGCATCACTGTGCAAATGACTAAAAAGTAATTTTAGGAATATTTGGTTATTTATAAAAATTAATCACCACCTGAAATTTGATCAGAGACAGAAGTTGTCTTTTGCCTCATATATAAAGTGACAGGTTATAAAGCAGAGTTTGTTTTTTTTTTAAATAAAAAATATAAATTTATTTATATATGCGTGTATATAGGAGCTCTGACAGCATAGTGCCTAAGGCATGTGACTGTTAACCAGAAGGCTAGCGGTTCAAACCTATCAGCCACTCCTTGGAAGAAAGACTGGGCAATCTACTACCACCTTGGAAACCCAAGGAGGGGTCTCTATGAGCCGGATCCAACTCGACAGCAGTGAATTTGGTTTTATGCAAGTATATATGCATGTCCATCAATTTATATGTATAATTATCTTTCTGGGATTTAAAAACAAAACAATAGACCCACTCCTGTCAAGTTGATTCTATCTCATAGTGACCCTAGAGGACAGAGTAAAACTGTTCCATATGGTTTCCAAGGCTGTAAAAGCCTTAGGCACTATGCCACCAGAGCTCTTTTATAGAAGCAGACTGCCTCATCCTTTTTTCTGTGGAGTGACTGGTGGGATCACCTTTAGGTTAGTAGTTGAGTGCGTTAACACTGTGCCACCAGGATTCTTTTCTAAGGTTTACAGTTTCCCAAATCTTAATTTACTTCTGAACATAAACTTGCTATAACATGTATCATTTGTTTGTTTGTTTAGGCATGTAATACTCCTGACTTGGACTGGAAAGGGTATACTACCCTTTCTAGTGTGCTCTAGAGTTAGATCCCCAGGGTTCCAACATTACCTCTATCCACTTTTCTGAGTTCTGTAAGCTTCAGTTAGTTATTTATCTCCTCATTTTCCTCCTTTGTAAAAAAGGTTTATAGTACCTACCTCTTAAGGCTGTTATATTGGTAGTATTAATGTACTTAGCTAAGTGCACCTAGCACATTGAATACATCAATAACCAAGAAAACCAAAGCAAAATAATCTTGACTTAACAGCTACAGTAGAATAATCATAATTCTGAAGACTTTTTAAATTTCATAAAATTTTCCATGGTTTCTATGCTAATTTTGAAAATAACTGGCCAAGTAGAAAAAAACATAAAATAAAGCTAATGTCACTTTTGAGTGCTACTAATTTCTTATGCCTGTTATATGGAATGAACAATATTTCATCACTGCATTTAATTTTATATTATTAAATATTATTGTTCTTATAAAGGTTGTGTCTTTGGTGATAATAAATACATTTATAAATATGGGAATTCTATAATTCATTTAAAGAGCTCAGAAAATGTTAAGGAAATCTTGACATTTAAAAATGATTTTAAACTGAGTTTATCTAAGGCATTTAGATTCTTACAATAAAAATTCTGAGTAGAAATTAACTGACCCAGTTTCTTACTGTATAAAAATGAATGACCTCATAAGATTGTGGCACACATTCATGAGATAATACATATATGATAATGTGGGTGCACAGATAGATGTCAAATAAATATTACTTCTTCCCCTCCTACCATAACGTTACCTACTATTTCCTAACAGACTGTAGAGAAAGGGTCTGTTTTAGGCAAGAGAAAAGAACTTAAAAAAAAAAAAGTTAAGAGGAAATGAAAGAATGTATACCATACACTAAACACAGAAACATAAGAAAAATTATCAGAATCAACTTATAGAAAAAAGAAATTATAATCAAGCCACCAAAGAATGGAAAGAAAAAAAAATGGATCTCAACTCAACTTTCAAACACTATTACTCTAAGAAAACAGGGTAAATAAGGAAATAAGTGAAGGAAATATTAACCCTTCTAAATAATCTAGAAAAGATCCATTTCAGAGAGATATGATTCATCCAAGAATATTGATTTTAGAAAAAGAATGGTAATTACTTTTCAGGAATCAAAAATATGATATGGCTTGATGATTTACAGTGCAGATTTTTTTCTTGCTGGGTGTCAGCTGGGAATAGGATAGATGGAGATACTAGATTGTAGAGGTAGGAGAGTGAGGGTAGGAGAGTAAGATTTGGAAGTCATCCCTCTTTCCTTCTCACAAACACAACATGCACATTTGCAGATAAGAGTATCTGAAAGTCTCTAAAGATTCTGAAATCTTTGTGTCTCCTATATGGCCACATAAGCTTCTAGAGATATGTCTATAAATTATGGTCAAATAATTCAGCAACCAAGTACAAAAAGCTGGTTTCTTCAGATAAGAGCTAAATAAGGTATAAACTTTCACTAGATATTTTAAATCACTGTTTTTTCTGAACATCTACAGTTGTAGTAGATATAAAAACATTTTTAACATCAACACATTAAAACCCTTTATATGTAAGTATGTTGGTTTACTAAAGGAAAAAAAAAAGTAAATTAAATTTTAAATGTCATTCCCTTCATAATGTTATCTTATGCTGTATACACATGATTTATTTTGCTTCTTTGGAAGTTCAGATTTAACCTATACTTTCAATTAAAAGTTTATCTACAGTAAATAGAAATAAAAACACAAAAGAGTAAAACTGCAAATAATTAATTGGTATGGTTTCTGTTCAATGATCTAGTTTTAATACCTTAAAATACCTAGTCATTTTTAAGCATTTTTGAGTGGCATAAATTTTACCTGAGCAACTAGATATGAACAGTATAGGCTTGAGAAAGTTACTTTATAAAACATGTTACATAGTAAAGACCATTCCCCCAAAATTAGATCATTACCATTAATAAGATTTCTTGTTTCAATGAACAATTACCTTTATGTTTAACAGTTTTTTCACTAGACTGTTTGGAAGTATCCAAATCTGATGTTTTACTATATTCCACACTTAGTACCACATCCTTGGCACCAGGAGATTTCTCTTGGGATGACAATAATTCTTCTGTGGACACAAACGGATTTAAAATATTATCTAATTCTTATATTAAACTGTTAAAAAAAATCATGGTTTAATCACAATTAAGTGATTTTTAAGCAAACTTACTGAGATAATAAACTTACTGCAAATTATTTCTTATGTAAATTATTTTTTCTTCACTTAATGAAGAAAATGGCCATAGAAATTACATGAGCCTACATGCCAGCACTGTGCCAAGAGCTTTCCTTTAATGACTACTGACTTAAATATTGGAGTGACAACTAAGTACCACACATTTGAATTAGGCAATAAAGAATCATGTAACAGTAGAATCTGGCAAATGAAAGAATGATTTATAAAATGTGAATGAATTTTATTCTCAGAGTAATTTACAAACATAAAAACCATAAAATATGGCAAATGTTCCTATGCATGTTAAGAGATGATAGATAACAATGAAATATTACACCCCTTAGTACAGAGCCAAGACCAGTCTTTTCCTAATGAGCTCATGGTGAAAGTATCTCTTCTTCCTTTTTAAAACAGTTTGTTTTCTCTTTTTTTGGCAAAAAGTTAGTAAACATTTAACTTCCATAATAAAAATATCTATTCTAAAGACAAATACAATATGAAAGGGATATAATCTCTTCACATCCTCATCATTTATTCATATGAATGAAGAAAATGGCAGTAGAAATCACATGCGCCTAGGTGCCAGCACTATGCCAAGAGCTTCACAGCCTTATCTTCTTTTCAATCTTCAAACAATCTTATGAGGTAATTATGTTTTAACAGATAAGGAAACCAGGCTCAGAAATCAGCAGATTATCCTAGATACAAAATGATTAAGAGAAAAAGATGGGATGTTTAATCTAGATCTGCCTGAACCCAAACCTAAAGTCTTAATTCAATGCTAAACTGAATTGTTTCCAAATCTGGTGACAAATAAGGCTTTTCAAAATGTTTCACAATGATGCTAAACACTTGATATTTTTAAAGTTTCAATAGCATTCAAACCTCTGTAAAGTATTAAATTATACAGTTAGCCAAAGTGTGATTGATACTTTTGCAATAGAAAAGGAATGAACACCGCTAGTAATAATGCAGGGATAACAAGTACTAAATAAACTCAAAATGAAAAATAAACTTCTAAATAAATCTCAATCACTGTCAGAGCAAGAGAGAACTGAAATAAATACAGCATTCTGCAAGGCTTACTCCAGAGTAAAGCCATGGTGGAGCACTAGTTAGAGCACTCACTGCTAAACTACAGGTCAGTGGTTTAAACCCACTAGCCACTCTGTCAGAGAGAGAGAGATGACAATCTACTCCTGTACAGATTGCAGCCTAGAAAACCCTATGGGGCACTTCTACTCTGTCCTATAGGGTCATTATGAGTCAGAATTGCCTTGATGGCACACAAGATAAACAACTCCAGAGTGAGAAAACAGATTTGCAGCAAGCCATATTTTTGTGTTATATGGATAAAGATCTCAAAGCATTCCACTTCAAAATTGCAGGATGTGGTGGTGGTAGGAATTAAAACAGTTTAAATATATTAACAAATAACAAAAGTTCATTGTGTGTCTCTGGTTGTGCCATATCACTAGTTAAGTGATAATTTGGTTAATTAATTGATAAGGGTAAAATATTAAATATGCAAATTTCCGTAAGTTTGTATTTTTAAAACTACCAAGAAGAAATCATAGGAGGTATAGAAATTTCTATTAAGTTTTATATAACAAGTTGACAAAAGCAATAATCGTACTTTAATTAGGTTTTAACCTTTACTTTAAAACAATGCTTTAAAGGCTTTCTACTGCATGATTGCGCTTATCAAAAAATGAAAATATCCAATGATTGAGTCATTTATGTTTATCCTCAGATTTTATTTAACAAGCATTTTTTTCAAAGTTTGGCTACTGCATAATCATAACTAAGGATCTCTTAGTTAAGCACAGTGGCACAGTGCCTAAGGCATTTCACTGCTAACCAGAGGTTTTTGGTTCAAATCCACCAGCCACTCTGTGGAAGGAAGACTAGGCAATATACTTCCATAAAGATTTATCACCTTGGAAACCCAAAGGGGGTTGCTATGAGTTGGAATTGACTCAATGGCAATGAGTTTGGTTTGGTATGGTTTTATACTCATAATTCATAATTAATGTTTGTTTCTCTTAAACTTGGGATTTGGGTTGAATTTGATTCCCTCCATGATAATCACTAACCATCATCCAGGTAGGTACAGACAGAAAACACACAAACTTAGGTAAAGCCAAACAGATGTGATCTTAAGATGACATAAAATGGCAGAGAATAGATATTATCAAAATTACAGAAGAATTTGTGAGTTATACATAATTTTCCAACAAAATAATTTATATTTGTTTAAATAAAAAATTTATTGTAAACAAGGTTTACCTTGTCCTTGAAGATGAGATATATCCAGACCTTCCTTTAAGCGGATAACCACCACTCCATACTGGATGTCAAAGGCATCACTACAAGGGGAGAGGGGAAGAGGCAGGGAGAAAAAATAATCACGAAAATTTATGTGTCCCCCCCTCTGCAAAATGAAGGCAACAGGAGATAATGTCCACAATTACTTTCAGCTTTAAATATTTGATTTTAATACGCTTTAAAAATGACTTTATGGGATCTGCATGTTAATTTCAAATCCTTTATCATTTCCTTTCCCTTCTTCTGCAAGACTCTTGAAAACTATGTAAGTGTAGATCTTTCATAATACTGATATTCTACCTCCATCAAACTGTTTAAAGTAGTATGTGTATTTTTATTCCATCAGAAACAGCCCAAGTAAAATTATGGAGAAACAATTTTCAGTAATCTTACTCTATTTATATTTAGGCTGTGCTCTTAAAGCCAAAGAAATACACGAAGATAATGAAGACAGATTTCGCTAAGAATGAGAACAGGTCGTAGACTATGAAGAGACCATTTATGAAGGGAGAAAGGGTATTTGAAATAATTTAAAACTTTTTTTTTGGTAAAATTGGTCTACAAAACAGTCCAAAGGTTTTATATGCATTTGGAAACATACATTATTATCTCCTTTTAACTATTTTTAACCATAGTTGGAAACATCCTATATGTTTAAGATACATTAAAACCACAAAGGCAGCTAAAAGCAGGCTTAACTGAAATCTGGAAAGTCACCAAAATGTTGTCATGTTAAGTCCATGTTTTTCTCAAATCCACTTAAAGAATTTCAAATTCCAAAACTTCAGCCTATTCTGCAAAAGCGGTAATAGGCTTATGTGTTATTTTAAATCTGGTAGCATAGTGGCTAAAGCACTTGACTGCTAACCAGAAGGCTGGCGGTTCAAACCCACCAGCCACTCCTTGGAAGGAAGGTTGGGCAATCCTACTTCCGTAGTGATACTGCCTCGGAAACCCAAGGAGGGGTCGCTATGAGTCAGGGCCGACTCGACGGCACGTAACAACAACAACAACATATTTAATGAAGTAAGCAATCTATATTTACTATATACCTATCAAAATAAAGATATAGTCATCTTTAATCATATATAACAAAAAAAGAAAGTGAAAAATCAAATAAAATGACCAAATTATTGCTGCTACTGACAAACAGAAGAATGTGTTCAGGATACTGATACTGTATGAGACTGTAAAAGGTCATTATTATTACTTTTTTTTAAATTGGGGAGGCAACTTTGGTCTCATTTTTGTGAGTTAACCAAAGGTCAAAGGAGATGGAGAAATTTAACAGACACATAAAACTCGCCCAGCTGTAGCTGAAAAACCAATATACGAGAGAAGAAATGACCACAAGTGTCTTCAAAAAGTTAATAAATCAGGTGAATCAAAATCAATTTCTTTAAAGAAAAGGCAGGGAGCACAGCTCCCTGGGTTTATCATCAATTAAAACAGCTAAATGTTTTTGCATTAAGGTATAAAAATTTGATGTACAGTAGTTGATTTCAGACTTCACATACTATTAATAAAAAAGTAATAATAAATAAATAAACCAAACCCACTGCTATCAAGTCAATTTTGATTCATAGAGACCTGACTGTCCAGAGTAGAACTGCCCTATTGGGTTTCCAAGGCTGTAAAACTTTACTGAATGAAGCCGGCTGCTTCATCTTTCTCCCACAGAGTGGGTGGTAGGTTCAAACAGCTGACCTTCAGGATTAGCAGCAGGATGCTTACACCACTAAACCACCAGAGCTTCTTTATAATGAAGCCCACATAAATTGGTATTTAGAATCATAACTGAAACATTACGGGGAACTGCCACAAAAGAAAAGGATGAACGATGTCAGTGCTTTAAAACTGCCATTAATTTCCATGACTCTAGATGCCAGAGAGCATTATTTTACCTATCTTTTAATTGCTGCTGATGCACAATACTCAAGGTAATACTTAACTTTCAGGTTAAACACTCACTATAATCCTTACAAAGTCAGACAGAAAGACCCTTTCCTTCCAGTGCTCCCATTATGAGCAACTATAACTAATAACATGGCAAGCGTATAAAAGAATTATTTAGGAATTTTTTTTTTTCTATTTTCTAGGATAATTCCTCTATTTTACTGGTTTTACATCTTGAGGAGAAAAGCATACATAGGCCACCACCTAAATGATATAACCTATCTTTCACAGTATACTGTCTTGTCCCCTCAAGCCCCACATATACAAGTGTAGAGAGGATTAGAAAGCTGAAGTAAGACTTTGCTTACCAAAAAGTAACAAAGCCAAAGACAAGTAGCAGACAATATACAATGAACTAGAAGAGCTTTAATTTTACCAAAGGTATTTAACAATTAGTTGAGAAATTTTGTTCAGCATATATAAAGATACACACACACACACACACACATATACACACACATATATTTAAACTATAAGATCTGGTTACTACTCAAAGATTCTTCAAAGTAGGTGTTGTTGCTGTTATGTGCTGTCGAGTTAAACCCGACTCATAGCGACCCCTCCTTGGGTTTCCGAGGCAGTATCACTACAGAAGTAGGATTGCCCAACCTTCCTTCCGAGGAGTGGCTGGTGGGTTTGAACTGCCAGCCGTCTGGTTAGCAGGGAAGTGTCTTAGCCACTATGCTACCAGAGCTTCAAAGTAGGTAGGTAAACAAAATATGTGTGAAACAGGTAAATAAGTTATGTGGTTATATCTACAGATGCAACAGGAACATCACTAAGGGAGATAATTTCAGTGAGTTAAGGGTAATTAGAAACCCTGGGTGGTAAAAATGGTTAAGTGCTCAACTACTAGACAAAATATTTGTAGTTCAAACCCAGTGACACACGCGTTGGAAGACAAGCCTGGAGGTCTGCTTCCAAAAGGTCACAGCCTTGAAAACCCTATGGCACAGTGTTACTCTGCACACATGGGATTGCTATGAGGTGCAACTGATTCAACAACAAAAATATTAACAACAAAAAGGTAATCAGATCAAAATTTACTTTATTTGGGTCTCAGAGTTACTTTGCCAAATGTAAATTACATACTAACAACAAAAAGGTAATTGTTTGTATATGAAGAAATACATAAAAGTGAGTAACCAGTTCTATTTCATTGGTGGCTATGATAAGACTACTCTTCAATCCAGTTTGGTGTGGTGGAAGATAATGCTTGTCTTCTGTAGAACAGTGTGAACAGATAGATTTGTTAAGCAATCTCAGAATGCTAGGGAAGTAGACACTTTTGAAGATTAAGAAGCAAATCTAACAAAAACTAAAAGTATTTTCTTTTTATTAAATAACTTGCTCAGTTAAAAAAAGCATATGTGGCACATTACATTAAAGATACAGGCATAATAAATTTACAATAACATAAAAAGTAAAACTAGAAAGATAAAGTAATGAAAGAATAAAATGAACCCTCTAGAATAACCATAAAAGGGAAGTTAAAGTGACATAATACTAAAGTGACTGATAAACATTACTGGAAATACCATTGAAAACTGAATAAATAAACTCATACTTTCAAGGAGGCAGAAAAGCAAAACATGCAAGTACATTTAAAAAATGTAAACAACTTAATGGATGAACCAAATGATTGACTTCAAAATTAGCAGGAAAAGGTTGGTATAAGTGAAGGAAATGCCCTTCCCTCAGCCTAGTCTGACGATATTTGGGAACTTGGCTGAGGAGCAACTGAAGAAATAGAAGAAAGTGTACTAACTTAAATGTGAAGTCATAATATACATACATTATGTATATCTGTGTGTATGTATAAAGAGATGCAGATTAATTTTAAAAAATAAATTGTTATTACATCATCAATTTAGATGGCAGATGACCACTGTGATCCTTTTCATTCTTATGTTTCTACTATATGAGAAACAGGATTCAAAAACAAGCTAAAGCTTTCAAAATAAACATTTTGTGACCAACCAACCAGGTTAATTAAATGGGTACTTACTGAAATAAATTTATATACATATCCACATCCCTCATATCTGCTTGTAACCAATCTTTCTTAAATCCAAGGACAAGTGTGTTTGGTTTCATACGACCAAGACCAGCAGCCTAAAATATAGGACAAATATAAATTTAAAGAAATAAACAACAAAATGTTTTTTAAATGACAAAATGTTTCTAACAGTCTTTAAACATTTTAATCTTATGGACATTTATTAGCTAAATTTTTTGAATATCCAAAAATAAAATAAATAATTAAATTTTTTTTAGTATTTCTGGTGAAATCTGGCTAATGTGCATCCCCAGTTGTTCCAACAATCAAGCCAATCTGACTGCAGTCTAACATACTTAACAAATGTTTTCAACAGTTCAACGAAATCTCATAAATTTTAAAAATGTGGTAGAAAATTCTATTTCCAAAATTGTGTGCATACATAAGTTATTATAGATGCCATACTTAATAATGATTTTCGTGAAAGATTAATTAATTCAAATACTTTTCAATTGACAACCATGTACCACACATTCCTAAATACTTGGGATAATTAGGGAACAAAAGAAATAACCCAATTTTGTTGTCGTGGTTCTCCAGTGCTGCTATAACAGATGTACCACAAGTGGATAGTTTCAACAAACAAGGATTTATTATTCTCTTATAGCTTGGGAGGCTAAAGGTTCAAGTTCAAAGTGCTCTCTAGGGATTGGATGAAGGCCAACTGACACTGGGCTTCAGCTTCAGCTCTGTCTCTTGTTCTAGGCCCACTAGAGCTGAAGGCTTTTTGGGACTCATGCAGCTTCTGGCTACTGAGGCTGACAAACCCAAGACCAATGAGTAAAATGGTACAGCTCCAAGATTAGCAGACAACACAGCAGGCCACCAGTTCAATTCCAGGAACAATCCCAAGACTGGCAAGCAATATGGCAGGCCACTGAAATGAAGACTCAGCTAAACGCAGTATATGGATGTGCCAATGGCCCAAGATCTTTCCCAAAGTTTCTCCATAGATACTGGAAGCAGTCCACACCCCAAGGGCAACTACTTAGCTAATCACATCAGATTCTACCATGGAAGTGATTACAAACTCATCACAGGAAATAATTCCATCCAGCTGCCCAGCCACTCAAAACCATGGCCCAACCAAGCTGACACACAACCATCACACCTGTAAAGCCCAAATCCATTTTCAAAATGTTCCATCCAAAGGATGTTTCTTTCAAAAATCAGATTAATTTCACTCACTATAAAAATATCACCTTATTTCAAAAAGACAGAAAAAAAAACTAATCTTTTTTTTTTTTTAAGGTAGGCCATTACCACACAGCACAGCATATATATAAGGGGAGGGGGAATTGGGGTTTCCAGCAAGATGGTAGAATAGGCAGACAAGCTACACAGAGCCTCTTCAACAAAGAAACAAGAAACCAATTAAAACAGATACAGAAGATAATCTTGGAACCCTGAGCTTTGAAGGGAAGGATAAAGAAGTGGATTAAATACCAACTAGTTGAAGAACCTGAATGAAAACTGTGAATAAGGAGACAAATGGAACTGCAGACTGTCAGCTGTTCTGAGAATACAATTTGAATATTAACAAAGTGGTGTTCTGATCCAGGAAGCAACCTACGTATGGGTTTTCTGCTTGCCAAGGACAGCATGGGCAACTGCACTGGTGGTTAACAAGTAGAAAGGAAAAGAGCAAATAAGGAGATAAACTGAGATGTGGACTGTTGGCCCTCAGAGCACAGCCATTTTGCATATGTGCAAGTGGCATTCCAATCTGGGCAGTAACCTAAGAATAGGCTGATTGCTGAGGACAGCCACACTGGAGGTTGATGATTAGAAAGGTGCAATAATCCCCTTCTTACTCTTAATTCCCACACCTTCTTGGTGAATGGAGGTGTGGCCATCCCCTACCTCTACTCTCTTTTTGGACCAGCAAGAATTCCCTGTCTGTATGCACTGATAGAGCCTGGGTGCCCTGACCCCCACCCCAATTTTGTTTTTGGTTGTTTTTAAATTATTCTGTTTCCTTGTCCTTTATTTATTTATTTGCCCTTCCCCGGTTCTTTTTTCCCTTTCCTTCTCCCGGTTCCTCTCTTTTTCTTTTGATTCTTCCCATTCCTTGTTTTTCTTTTTGCAGTTTCCTCATTTTTCCTTTTTTATTCTTTTACTCTCGCTCTTTTCTCTTATTCCACCCTCCCCACATATTGAGGTTTTATTCTTCTTTATCTTTCATCTTTTATTTTTACTATTTCAAAATTTTTCTTCTCATTTATTGCTTTGCTTATTTATTTTTTCAATTGTTCCTGTTTATGTGTTTTTTATTCTCTTGTTTTTATTTTTTTGGTGGGTTTATTTATTTTGTTCTGAATGGGAGACAGCAACCATGACCACATGACGCAACCACACTCACACATCCTACAGCCCCACCCACTGAATAAGGGCCATGACTTGCTTCAGCACCAACTGACCAACGAGAGGTGGCAGCCAATACTAGCCCAACTCACCCTCAATGTCTCTTCAAGAAATCTAACAGAGATCAGGGCACATACTCTCCTTCTCTATCACTAGGAGATACCTAGTGAGGTACCCACTAGGAGACAGGTGGTGAGTGTTTAAGTGCTACGAACTAGCCAAGAGAGGAGCATAGTACCCAACTCACCTTTCTAAACAAAATAAATAAATAAATAATCTTAGGTGAATCACACCAACATACAATCACCAAATTAAATATAAATACAACAACATTACAATGTCTCAGAGATAAGTGACCATCCCAATCCACATAAAGAAGCAACATAAAATAGTACAAACAAGGGACCAGGATACAGATCCAGAAAATCTACTTAAGAACCAGAATTGGAATTCAAAAGAATCATATTTAAGTACCTTCAATGGACTGAGAGACAGAACAAGGAAAACATTGACAAAATTAAGGAAAACACAGACAAAATTCTAAACCAATTTAGGAAGACAATATAAGAACAAACTGAGAAATAGACCAAAAAAAAAAAAAAAAATAGAAACAATACAAAAATAACAAATAAGATTAATACTATGATTTCAGAAACAGATAACAATTTGAATGGGTAAAGAAAATTAAGAAAACCTAACATTCATGTAGGAGACCATCAAGAGAAATAACTTACATATAATTGGAATTCCAGAGCAGGAAGAGATTAAAAAAAAAAACCCACAAAGAAAATTGTCAAAGATTTGTTGAAAGAGAATTTTCCTAAAATGATGAAAGACAAGAAGATATCCATTCAAGAAGTTCAACAAACCCCAAACAGAATAGACCCCAAAAGAAAATCATCAAGACATAATAATCACATTCACCAAAACCAAGAAAAAGAAAGAATTCTCAAAGCAGCACAGGTAAAACAAAAGGTTACCTACAAAGGGCAACCAATAAGACTGAGTATTGGTTTCTCAGCAGAAACCATGCAGGCAATGGGATGATTTATATAAAACCCTGAAAGAAAAAAAACTGCCAACCAAGAATTATATATCCAGGAAAATTGTCCTTCAAAGATAATGGTAAAATTAGGACATTTCCAGATGAACAAAAATTAAAGGAATTTGTTAAAAAAGAGATAAAAGAGAGTCCTTCAGACAGAGAACCAAAAACAATAGATAACAACCATGATAAACACACATGATGACATAACCTAAAAACCAACACAGTAATAAAAGTATCCAGAGTAAAATTAGTTTACAAGACTGAAAACAGAAAAAGCGCTATCAGTTGTGAAGTAAAGACAGCTACAAACCCAAAAGCGGGAACAAATAGTGTAGGTATGGAACTTCTAAATGGTGAAGAAGTCAAGACAACTGAGAGATAGAACAGACTGTTCTAAACTTGGGAAGAAAATAATAGATCACAGAGTAACTTCAAATAAAACTAATAAACCTTTGCATCAAAATAAAATAGAGAGGCACAAATACTTACCCAATACTAAAACAATAACAACAAAGGAAATGATAACACAATTTGTAAATAAAATTAGCTCCGCACAGAAAATTACATGGAACAAAGAAAACAGCAACACCATGAAAAAACACATAATGTATGGATAACAACAAATTCATACTTATTGATGATTACGCTGAATATATATGGATTAAATGTACCACTCAAGAGATGGAGAGTTGTAGACAAGATAAGAAAACATGACCCATCAATATATTGTCCACGAGAGATGCACCTTAGACACAAAGACAAAAAGAGACTTAAAAACAAACGTTGGAGAAAGACATTTATCAAGCAAATGGTAATGAAAAAGAGCAAGAGTGGAAATACTAATTTCTGATGAAACAGACTTTAAGACAAAAAACATCATAAGAGACAAGGAAGGACATTATATAATATTTAAAGGATGAACTGAACAAGAGGATATAACCATAATAAATATCTACACACCCAATAAAAGAACTTCAAAATAAATAAGTCAGACTTAAAAAGAACTGAAAAGCCAGACAGATGACTCCAAAGCATAGTCATACAACATATAATGAAAGAGAACAAATGGAAAGAAATTCAACAAGGACACAAAAAAACTAAACAATGCAGGCCACCAAATTGACCTTATAGACATTTATAGAGCACTTCACCCAACCGCAGTACAATATACATTCTTTTAAAACACACATGGAACACTCTCCAGAACAGACCATGTCAGACCACAAAGCAAGCCTCAATAAATTTAAAAACATTGAAATACTGCAAAGCATCTTCTCAGATCACAATGCTATAAAACTAGAAATCAACAATAGGAAGATCAATGGAAAAAGAGCAAACACATAGAAAATGAATTAACACCCTCCTTTAAAAGGCACTGGGTAATTCCCAAACCCACTGCCATCAAGTTGATTCCAATTCAGCGATCCCCTTTGGGTTTTCAAGGCAGCAAATCTTCATGGAAGTAGGCTGCCCCATCTTCCTTCTGTGGAGTGGCTGGTGGGTTTGAACCAACAACCTTCTGGTTAGCCGTCAAATGCCTTAGGCACTGTGCCAGCAGAGCTCCTACTAGTAATAGAATAAAGAAGGAAATTAAAAATTTCCTTGACTCAAACAAGAATGGAAATACAACATACCAAAATCTTTGGAACACAGCAAAAGCAATGATCAGAGGCCAATTTATAGCACTAAATACACACATCAAAAAAGAAGAAAGAGCCAAAATCAACACTTTAATCCAACATCTCCAACAAGTAGAAAAAGAGCAGTGAAATAAGCCTACAGTTACCAGCAGAAAAATAAATAAATATTCAAGCAGAAATAAACAAAATAGAAAATAGACAATAGAAAAAAAATCTACAAGACTAGAAGTTGGTTTTTTAAAAAGATTAATAAAAATCGACAAACCACTGGCAAACTTAACAAAGATAAAGAAGGAAAAGACGCAAATAACATGAATAAGAAATAACATAGAAAAAAAAAAAAATGGACCAACGTCACAAGACAAGCAACAGAAAAAAGGGTTAATATTAGGATACTATGAAAAACTTTACTCTGTCAAATTTGAAAACATAGAAGAAATGGACAGGTTTTGGGAAAGATACTACTTACTTAAACTAACACAGACTGAGTGCTAAAACAGCAAGGAGGCCACATGTTCTGACCTCCTCTAATCTCACAAGAGGAAGGCAGGATTACCAGCAGTAACCCAAGGCCTATTACTGCCAGGCCAAACATGCTGTCTCCCTCCAGCCCTTTCACCAACTGTTCCTTCCAAAGCAACAACCACCTCTCTCCTGGGTTCGATAATTCGCTGCAGTGGCCACACAAAACTCACAGATTACAGGGTTTATTAGGGAAGCACCAGGCTACAACTCAAGTTCAGGAAGAACGCTCAGTCTCTCTCCCAGCCCACCGTCCCTCAGCCAAGAGTCTCTCACAGTCTCTTTCCCAGCAGTGCTGGTCCCTCGGTGTCTCACTCAGTGATGCATGTCTCTTGCATCTCTTTCCCAGCAATGCGTGTCTCAGGAGCCCGGGTCTCTTTCAGCAGCACGTCTTCTTCAACCAGCAGTCAGAGAGAGTTCTGCCTCCAGGAGGTCTCCTTTAGAGCCCGCAGGGTGGTCAAACTAGCCAATTACAGCATCAGAACTCTAAGCACCTGAGAGAGAGTGGGCACCTCCCAGAACATTGTTTTGTGCCACTCCCAACAGAAATACTCCAGGTGGACACCTTCAGCAATCAGGAGCTCCTCAGTTGCTCATAGCAAATCCCACCTTCGAGTTTACAACGACTTATGGGTAGAAAAGCCACACAAAGTAATTTACTACACTGCACTGAGGTAGAAATTTTTAACAGACTCATAACAAAAGAAGAAATTTAATGTCATAAAAAAAATTACCAGCAAAAAAGTCCTGGCCCACAAACATGGGTATACGGGTGGATAGATGGGCGGACAGGCTGAACTATTAGGTCAAATGCCTATGAAGTGGGAGTGTACCCAAGACTACACATAGGGTTGGCAGACAATGGTCCTATAAGTGTATTTGTGTGATCTGAATTCCCAAGTGTATAGTAGAGCTGACAAGGGACAAGGTTGTAGTCACTTCTTGGTCACAACCAGCTACCCAGAGGGACTGAGCAGTTGAACCTGTGGGCTCGGGACCATAGTCGCTGGGAACATCAAGCTCAACTGGCATAACATACTACACAAAACATTGTTCCACCTCCCACTTTGGCCAAGTAGCATCTGGTATCTTAAAAGCTTGCAAGCAGCCATCTAGATATAACGATGGGTCTCTCCTCATCCTGAGCAAAGAAGAATGAAGAAAACCAAAGATTCATGGAAACAATTAGTCCTAGCGACTGGTACACCATACAATCTGCAGAGCCAATACTCTATATGACTATGAGACCAGAACTAGATGTGGCCTGGCTACCACTGTCAACTACTCGGAGGGGAATCTATGTAGGAGATCCTGGATAGAGAGAGAGCAATGCAGGACAAAACTCAAAATCATTTGGGGTGGGGGGGACCAGGTTTGCTGGTCTGACAGAGCCTGGTGGAACTACTGAGACTATGGCCCCTAGCTGCCCCTCAGGTCTGGAAATGAACCCACACCTGTGGCTTCCAGCCAAACAAAAGACAGGCATATGAGTTGAACATTTACCTGAGATAGATACACTCCTTGGAGAGAACAATCATGGGAGAAGGAAGGGCTGCTTATGCACAGGGAGACAGCTCAAGGGGCAGCGTGCATGGAGGGATGCAGACAGGGAAGAGGTAACTATGGGGAGAAAGTGGGAGGGGAGCTGTTGCATTGTGGTAAATTGTGGTCAATGTCATGAGACAAAGTGTATGTGAACTGCTGGATGGAAAGTGAATTTGCTCTGTAAATTTTCACCCAAATCACAATAAAAAAAAAAAAAGTCCTGGCCCAGACAGTTTCACTGGAGATTTCTACCAAATATTTAGAGACTAGCGGACACCAATGCTACTCAAACTATTCTAGAACAAAGAAAAAGATGGAATCCTCCCTTATTCATTTTATGAAGCAACCATAACCCTGATAGCAAAACCAGGCAAAGACACCACTAAAAAGGAGAACTACAGACCAATATCTCTCTATAAAAATCTTCAACAAAATCCCAGCCAACAGAGACAGCTTGAAGGGCAGGAGTACATGGGAGGGAAGGACACAGGGAAGAGGTAACAATAGAAGAAGTGGGAAGAGAGCTGTTACATCGTGGAGAATTGCAGCCAATATCATGAAACAAAATGTGTATGAACTAATGTATGGAAAATGAAATTGCACTATAAACTTTCACCCAAATGATAATAAAAACTAAAAAAGAAGAAAAAGAAAGAAATGTTTGCAATCATTAGCCATGAGAGAGATGCAAATCAAAACAACAATGAGATATCATCTCATTGCAGCACAAATAGCTAAGTTCAAGAAAACAGAAAATAACAAATTCTGGGGAGAATGTGGAGACTGGGACTCTCCTACACTGCTGGGGGGACTGTCAAATGATACAACCACTGTGGAAATTGGTATTCCAATTCTTTCAAATGTTGGCAATAGAAATAGGATTTGACCCAGCAATCTCGTTACTAGGTATAAATCCTGAAGAAGTGAGAGCCAGGACACAAATAGCTATATGCACTCCCGTGGTCACTGTAGCACCATTCACAATAGCAAAGAGGTGGAAACAACCTAAGTGCTCATCAACAGAGGAATGGATAACCAGACTATGGTACATACAAACAATGGAATACTATGCAACACGAAAGAATGCAGAATCTGCAAAAAATCTGGATGGGTGGAGATCAGGGAAACCCCTGAGACTATCATCCTATAATAACCTTCAAATTATAAACTGAAACCATCAGCAGAGGTTATGTTTCAGCTAAGAAATAGATCGGCTCATAAAATAACCACCACCACCTATAAGTACAGTACTCCTGTATTAAAAAAATCAATCATCTATGGCACATAACAACAACAACATGTGAGACCAAATGGTCAACACTCACCTAAAGCAAAGATGAGAAAGCAAAGGGGGGCAGGGAAGATAGATTAATGGAAATGGAACAACCAATGGAAATAACAAGAATGTTGACACAATGTGAAAAATATAACCAATGTAACTGAACAATATGTATTGAGACTGTTAAATGGGGACTTACTTTGCTGTCTAAACTTTCACTGAAAATACAATAAAACTTTATTTAAAAAAAAAAAAAATTCTGATCAAAGTAGCTAATCAATTAGTGGTAATGCTTCCACAGTTTCCATAAAACATCATGTGTGTTAAAGAAGTCTTACTGAAAACACCTCCTCCTTGAAACATATATTTTAGTCGCTCAGAGAAAAGCAGTTATTCATGAATGTCCATAATTGTTGTTGCAGAGACTAGAAAGTTAAATGCTGGTTTAATGATAAATGCTTGTGATAATAATTAGTAACCAGGAAGACAAGACTTCAGACTTCTAATTTATCTCAGCAGTTCCTCAATTAACAGACTGAACAGGGTCTGGTTTAGTTTCCTTTTCAAAGGGGTTCCTGTAAAAATAAGTTGGACTGCTTCAAGCCATTTGTTTCTCCCTGTAACCTTTAAGGCTGAGGAAACAGGTTCTGAGAAGTTAACTCATTCAGTCAAACAATTCACAGTAAGAAAGTGGAAATTTAAACCTAGATCAGATTCCAAATCCCACAATCTGGACACAAAACCATATACAAAACTGAAATTAAGTCTAAATTTAGTACTAGAAAATGAATAGTGAGAAATATAAGGAACAAGAACTTTTAAAAAAATTAATAATAAGGACTGCCATTATTTAACAGTCTTATAAGAAAATAATGAGTGTAGCAGGGAGGGAATAGGAACTATCTGAGAAAGGAAAGCAACAGGCTAAGAGAATTCACAAACAGGATTTTCATTTTAGTCATTCAGTACACTATTTCTCTGGTCCCTTAGCTCTCAAATTATACAAATCTTAGTAGTCTACTTTAATAAAAGAGATTAAAAAGTATTTTTCATGATGTTAATATGAACAATGGAACCTCAAGTCAAAAAGTATTTTAATGTTTATACACAGTTAAAGTAAAGGTACTTGATATACATAACACATTTACCTGCATCAAATACTGGGCACCTTCTCTCAAGTCATCTGCATGTACTGGAGCATAAAATGCCTTCATTTTGTTTTTAATAAGCCATCGCTGATATCTGGCTTGATCAATGGACATCTCTTTCATGGCTTGTCTTCGAGGGCCCTTTTTAATATATGAAATAAAAATATAAATATTATCTTTAATTGAAAGGTAATCTATTTCACATTTATAAAAATTATCCTGTTATACTGGCTTGAAATAAGGTGCCTAAATGCGTGGGATGGGAGACAGAATAACAGAATTTTATATCTGCCTCAGGGAATTCTTTCTAATCCTTAACATTGTGTACAGATACGGCTGATGGTGTAGTCAAGGCAACAGGAAATGCTAGTAGAAGGAAAAAAGGAGGAAAGACAGACTTAAAAATTTAAGTTAAAATTTTAGATACTAATTAAATGAGAGAAATTAGGAATTACTGAAAATGGAGAAGAGATTGCACAAGAGAAATATAAAAGCCTTCTGTTTTTCTAGAATGTTTACTAACTCGTTTTTTATTTGCTCAAAATGTCTGAATTATCAATTCTCAATCACCTAAAACTATCACAGAAATTCAAAACAAGCTATATAATACAAAAGTGTTTGCTTCATAACTATGTTAAACAAAAAATAATAGCAGCTCTGTAACTTGAAGTCCTATTTTGATCACTGCAAGCAATACATAAAAATGTATAAAACAAAAATCTAAAATTAGGTTTAAGAGCATACCCTAAACAGAAGAAGAAATAAAATTTCTCTGTCCTAGGAGGGAAACTGTTCCACATTTGTAATTTCTTATTTTCAAGGCCCCAACTTATGAGCCTGAAGACAAACTGGAAAACTTCATATTTCAAGTGGGACTCTGTCTTACTCTGCTTTCCATCCACCTCCAGCCTACACACACACAGCCTTATCTTTGTCAATACACAAGTGGATGAGCAACACTAACAAAGGTCCCGGCATGGCGCATACAGCACACATTTCTAGTACCAGAACAAGATGAACAACAGAGCTTAGGAGAACATCTAGTTTAACATACAAGTAACAACACTTCTTATGCAGAGCAGGTCATTTATCACCCAGCATCTTTGCCCAACAACAAAATATGAAAACCACTTTTCAGTAAAAGATAGTTTACCACTATTTAAAATATTTTTTACTTTAGATTAAAAAAAAAAAAAATTAAAGAGCAATTTTCAACGTTTGAACGCGGAAATTCAGGATTCACCTGCTTTCCTACATACTAGAGAAGTTTTATTTCCCTTTCTAGATATTTATCATGTTTTGCCTATCTCTAGCTTTTTTTCTGGTAAGTAAATGTTCCTTATATTCTTTGGATTTTATGAGGAGTATCAATAACAAAAAACAAAATACTAAATTTCATCATGAACTTTTCTCACAGTCAAGCTGTTCTACAAAGGCAATACGGACTGCTAAAATCTACATGAAAAGAATAACAAGTTCAACAACTTGAAAATTAAAACAATTTTTTTTGATACAATTTAGAAGTAAAAACATTCTCAAGAAAATAACTCTACTAAAAAAAACAGCTTTTATCTTGTCAAGTTATTTCAGATCTAGAAAGCTCTATTTATTATAAGTTAGAGGCAAAGTGAAAAATACTTTTACTATAGGAAAAAATAAGTTAACACTCACCATATGTACATGACCACAGATCATCAAACCAACATTTTTTGTGAAATCATGAACTAGATGAAGTAAAGCTGGTCGTGAGTTTGGAGCACCTGTCATAACAAGACACTGTGGCCTAATTTAAAAATAAAAAGGAAAAAAAATTAGAGAAGTTCTTTTGGTAACAATAACAATCTCAAGTCATTTCTCTAAAAATAAAGAATTACACTAGAACCTTTTTATGCAACTATGCTGAAGACCAAAGCCATAAAATTCTCACTGAATAGGATGACTTTTAACCAGGCCTTCTCTGTACCTGAAAAATACAGAAACAAACCCACCTGGAACAAACACCATGCCAAATGTCCCTCTAAAATAATAGGTAATATTATAAATCAAGATCCTGTTAGGTATTAAAAAAGGAAATTACAATGCTATTTGAAAAACAGGGAACAACTTTTAATCTTCTAAAGGTAACATTCCAGTTCTTTCAGAGAACTTGCAAAACTTCCAGAAAACATGGCCTTGCCTTTCATATTCAAAGCAGGTCACTTCACTTCTTACCTTGATCATACTACAATTACTTCTACTTTGTGATATCAGCCACCTGTAATCTAATTTTACTTAAATGACTGCTGTCATATGAGTAAAACCACCTAAGATGAAGAAAAATCTTGACCTAAAAGTTTAAATACTAATTAACAATGGTAGAGCCAGGACTTCCAGTAACATGGAGGAAGAGGCAGACAAGTGACATAGACCCTCTTCGACAAAGAAAAGAAAAACCAATTGACAGAGATACAGAAGATAATCCTGGAACCTGAGTTTTGAAAGGAACTATACAGAAGTGCATTAGGCACCAACTAGTAGAAAAACCTGAATGAAAACAATGAGTACAGGCACGGTCAGAGCTGCGGACTGTCAGCTACTCTGACAAGACCAACAGCCTGAATATTTCCAAGTGGTGTGGGACCCAAGAATTGACCTAAAGATCAGTCCCGGTCACTAAGGGCTGCAGGGACAACTGCTCTGGTGGCCTATGACTAGGAAAGGAAACAGCAAGGAGGGAGACAACCTGAGCTGTGGACTTTCTACTGTCCGGAGGGTGCAGCCATTTTGATTGCTTACACGTTGCAGCCATTTTGGATATTTAAAGTGACTGAGGGTGCAACCATTTTAAATCTTTACAAGTGGCAACCATTTTGGATTTTAAAGTAATAGCATTCTCATTTGAATTCCAGGGCCTAAGAACAGGCTCTGTTTGCCAAGGTTGGCAAGGACATATGAGAGGCTGACAACAGGAAAGGAGACAGGTGGTGAGTGTATAAGTGCTGTCAACTAGTGAATAGAGAAGCACAGCAAAGTACCCTGCCTGTACAGATAATATACAAACAAAACAAAAGAAAACGAAAATTGTGGGCAAGTCACTCCAACATATAATCACCAATTAAATACACACACAAAAATGCCACAATGCTTCGGAGACAACAGAGCATCACAGTCCACACAAAAAAGCAAGATAAAGCAGGAGAAACAAGGGATCAGGATACAGACCCGAACACATCCCTAAGGAAGAAGCAGCATTGGAACTCTCTGATAAAGAATTCAAGAGAGTTATATTTAGGTATTTTCAAAGGCTTGACAGACAGACCAAGGAAAACACAGACAAAACCCTAGAAGAATTTTGGAAGAAAATACAAGAACAAAATGAAAAAATAAATGAAAAATTAGAAATGATTCTAAATCTATAAATAGAAATCCAGGAGATTAATACTAAATTGTTAGAAACAGTTAACACATTGGAAGGGCAAAAGAGTAGAACTGATGCAATGGAAGACAGAATTAATGAGACTGAAGACAAATACTTGAATACTTCTTTGGAAAGGGATCAATCAGTAAAGAGATCAAAGCAAAATGAAGAAAGCCTATGGTTCACGTGGGATACCATCAAAAGGAATAACCTACGTGCCATCGGAATTCCTGAACAGGAAGAGACAAATAAAATCACAGAGAAAATTGTCCAAGATTTGTTGGAGGAGAACTTCCCTGATATGATGAAAGATGAGAATATATCCATTCAGGAATTCCAACGAACCCCAAGCAGGATAGACACCCCCCCCCCAAAAAAAAACCAAGA